ACTACAAACATGAAACCTGCAGATAACACAATGACTCTAAACCCATATCTTTCAATAATAACACTGAATGTAAATGGACAAAATGCTCCAATCAAAATACATAGGGTATCAGAATGGATAAAAACAAAACAAACAAACAAACAAAAAAAACCAAAACAAGACCCATCTATTTGCTGTCTACAAGAGACTCATTTTAGGCCTGAGAACACCTTCATACTGAAAGTGATGGGACAGAGAACCATCTATCATGCTACTGAAGGTCAAAAGAAAGCTGGAGTAGCCATACTTATATCAGATAAACTAGATTTTAAACTAAACGCTGTAACAAGAGATGAAGAATGGCATTATATGATCATTACAGGTTCTATCCATCAAGAAGAGCTAAGAATTATAAATGTCTATGCACCGAATTTGAAAGCACCTAAATTATGAAACAATTAATCACAAATATAAGCAATCTTATTGGTAAGAATATGGTAATTGCAGGAGACTTTAATATTCCACTTACAGCAATGGACAGATAATATACACAGGAAATCAATAAAGAAACAATGGCCCTGAACGATACATTGGACCAGATGGACTTGATAAATATATTTAAAACTCAACATCCCAAGGCAGCAGAATACACATTTTTCTCGAGTGCACATGGAATATTCTCCAAGATAGTTCACATACTGGGTCACAAAACAGCCCTCAATAAGTATGAAAGAACTGAGATCATACCATGCACACTGTCAGATCACAATGCTATGAAACTTGAAATCAACCACAGGAAAAAATGCTATGAAAAATTATATGCCAAAAAACTGGACAACCTGGAAGAAATGGAAAAATTCTTAGACACCCACACATTACCAAAACTCAAATGGGAAGAGATAGAAAATTTGAACAGAACCATAACTAGTGAAGAAATTGAATCAGTTATAAATCTCCCAACACATAAGAGTCCTGGACCAGATGGCTTCCCTGGGGAATTCTACCTGACATTTAAAGCAGAGTTAATACCTATCCTTCTCAAGCTATTCCAAAACAATAGAAATGGAAGGAAAACTCCCGGACTCATTCTAGGAAGCCAAAATTACCTGGATTCCCAAACCAGACAGAGACCCCACATAAAAGGAGAATTACAGGCCAATATCCCTGATGAACATGGATGCAAAAATTCTCAACAAGATACTAGCAAATTGAATTCAACAGCATATAAAAAGAATTATTCACTATGATCAAGTGGGATTCATTCCTGGGCTGCATGGCTGGTTTAATATTCACAAATCAATGTGATACATCACATTAATAAAAGAAAGATAAGATCCATATGATCCTGTCAATAGATGCAGAAAAAGCATTTGACAAAATACAGCATCCTTTCTTAATAAAACCCTCAAGAAAGTTGGGATAGAAGGAACATATGTAAACATCATAAAACCCATATATGAAAAGCCCACAACTAATATCATCCTCAGTGGAAAAACTGAGAGCTTTCCCCCTGAGATCAGGAACATGACAGGGATGTCCACTCTCACCACTGTTGCTTAACATAGTGATCAAAGTCCTAGCATCAGCAATCAGGCAACAAAATGAAATAAAAGGCATCAAAATTGGCAAATCAAAAGTTCACCACCATTCTTCTCAGAGCTAGAGAAAACAGTCCTAAAATTTATATGGAATCACAAAAGACCCTAAATAGCCAAATATTGAAGAAGAAAACCAAAACGGGAGATGTCATAATCCCAGACTTTAGCCTCTACTACAAAGCTGTAATCATCAGCACAAAAACAGACACATAGACCAATGGAATAGAATAGAGAACCCAGAAATGGACTCACAAATGTATGGCCAACTAATCTTTGACAAAGCAGGACAGAGCATCCAATGGAAGAAAGTCTCTTTGTAAATGGTGCTAGGAGAACTGGATAGCAACATTCAGAAGAATGAAACTAGACCACTTTCTTACACTATACACAAAAAGAGACTCAAAATGGATGAAAGACCTGAATGTGAAACAGGAAACCATCAAAACCCTAGAGGAGAAGGCAGGCAACAGCCTCTTTGACCTCAGCTGAAACAATTTCTTACTTGACACATCTACAAGAGAACTAAAAGCAAAAATTAACTATTGGGACCTCATCAAGATTAAAAACTTCTGCACTGCAAAGGAAACAATCAACAAAACTAAAAGACAACCTATGGAATGGGAAAAGAATTTGCAAATGAAATATCGGATAAAGGGTTAGCATCCAAGACTTATAAAGAACTTACCAAACTCATCACTTGGAAAACAAATAATCCAGTGAAGAAATGGGCAGAAGACATGATGGACACTTTTCCAAAGCAGACATTTAGATGGCCATCAGACACATGAAAAGATGCTTAACATCACTCACCATCAGGGAAATACAAATCAAAGAGCCACACTGAGATACCAACTCATACCAGTCAGAGTGGCTAAAATGAACAAATCAGGAGACTATAGATGCTGGTAAGAATGTGGAGAAATGGGAACCCTCTTGTACTGTTGGTGGGAATGCCAACTGGTGTATCCACTCTGGAAAACAGTGTGGAGATTCCTCAAAAAATTAAAACTAGAACTCCCCTATGACCCAGCAATAGCACTACTAGGAATTTACCCAAGGGATGAAGGAGTGCTGATGCATAGGGGCACTTGTACCCCAATATTTATGGCAGCACTTTCAACAATAGCCAAATTATGGAAAGAGCCTAAATTCCATCAACTAATGAATGAAGATAAAAAGATGTCATTTATATATACAATGAAATACTATTTGGCAATGAGAAAGAATGAAATCATGCCATTGGCAGCAATGTGGATGGAACTCAAGGATGTTATGCTGAGCGAAATAAGTCAGGCAGAGAAGGACAGATATCATATATTTTCACTCATATGTGGATCTTGAGAAACTTAACAGAAGATAATGGGGCAAGGGGAGGGGAAAAAATAGTTAGAAACAGAGAGGAAGGGAGGCAAACTGTAAGAGACTCTTAAATACAGAGTACAAACTGAGGGTGGATGGGGAGCAGCAGGCGGGGGAGAGGGGAAATGGGTGATGGGCATTGAGGAGGGCACTTGTCGGGATGAGGACTGGGTTTTGTATGTAAGGCAATTTGACAATAAATTATATTTAAATAAATAAATAAATAAATAAATAAATAAATAAATAATAAAAAGTACAACTCATGCTTTTAACATACTTTACAACTCAATCAGGGTATTGTTAGAGATCCTGAAACTTCCGAATCTGTTATCGAAGCTAATGCCATATAACAGTGAACTTGGGTATGGAGTGGCCTACAAGGACTCGATTTGTTTTCCTCTCCTAATAGAATGTGTTTTATTCTGTTTAGGGCATCTTATGTCCTCAAATACCCCACATGATCAAACTGAAAACTGATGTGAATATCAATGAGTCAATTTTGTTGTAGTTCTTAATTTTAAAAAAATGCTCTCCTGGTCCATTTTTTTTTGGGGGTCACCATTTTCTCATTTTTTATTTAAAAATTTTTCCATTAGTTCAAGCCACACTACAAATAAATGATAAAATCAGGAAGAAATAGTTATCTATTCCCATTATTAAAAATGCCTAGTCCATTTTTGAGGCTTTGTCTAGAGGATGGTCAGTTCCCCTCTTGAGCGCCTGATTAAATCCATATCCCACTACTTCCCTTATCCAGGCTTTCACATTCCAGGCCCCAGGGCCCAGGATCAGACAACTAGGAACAGCCTCATAGAAGATTATGCCTGGGAGCCTGGGAAATTATTCAAGTTTGCCTGTCGGGGAGCCCTTCAAACCTAACCTGATCCCGCTTGCTATATATCCACTGCATTCTACAATTTCAGCTTGGTTTTCACCTGTCTGTGAGGGCAAGGCCTGTGCGGCCCCCTATGGCAGCTTTCTCACTTTTGGAGCTATAAGTAACAAACTGATCTGCTTCTCATTTATTAAAAGGTCTTTGTGCTGTGTCCCACCATCAAAAGAATCTTGAAACTATAAAGCAAGAACAAATAATCTATTGCTTGCTTCTCTCCTAGCTTTTGATGGTGTGCTGGAAATCTTGGGAGTTCATTGGCTTGTGGGGGGCATTCCTTGGTCTCTGCCTTCATCTCTACATGGCATTCTCCCTGTATATCTGTGTCCAATTTCCCTCTTTTTGTATGACACTAGTTATTGGACTACAGCCCATCCTATTCCAGTGTGGCTTCACATTAACTAATTACATCTGCAATGACCCTGATCAAAATAAGGTCCCATCTGAGGAAGTGAGGGTTAGAATTTCAACATATGAATTTTGACAGAACACAATTCAACTCATAATAGAAAGTCTTTATTAAAGCCACATATTATGTCTATCCTATGGCCATCAATTTTAATTTTTTTGGCATATACGCAAGAAAATAAATGCCTAAGTAAGCCAAAAGATGCGTACAGAACATAAATGTTTATAGAAGCTTTATTTGTGTTATTCCTGAAATGGAAAATCCAAGTACACAGCAAAATGGAGGAATAGATTATAGCATGATCAGACAAAAAATCTCTTCACAGTGTTACAAAAATGAACTATCTAAAGAATTTCACTTGTATCGAGTTAAAAAATAAGCAAAAAGGTGATAGAAGTTAGAGGAGTGTTTCTCTCTGGGGAAGGGATATTGACAGAGAAGGAGCCGGAAGGAGACTCCTTGAAGAGTGGAAATGGTCTTACCTTGGTTTTGAAGGCGATTACCTGAGTGCATACACAGGTAAAAATCCATGAAGTTGTCCACTAAAGGTTTGTACATTTTACCATGCGTATTTTATATTTCCCAAAATGCTACTTTCTAAATGAATTGCTACATAATTTATTTCATCACTTCAGTACTGTGGGAGAACCAATGAATTGTAGGTATTGGCTTTTTTTTTCTTTATCACTCAACAAAACTCAGCGACATTTCCCTTTCGTGGCTAGCCTGTGGCTAACTGCTCCAAATGCATACGCTGGGGAGGATGTCAGCTCTGAGGGTACTGATCTCCATCAATATTGTGGTGTCTGGTAAGTCTGATTTTTCAGAAAAAAGTAAAGATATTTTCAGTAGTGACAAGGAGCCTCTTTATCCACTTATAAAATGATTTATAATTTGTTCTAGCCACAGTGATTAAAAGCAAACCTTCTGATTTCCTTACGTCACCGGTGCACTGACTAGTTGTCTGGCTGAGACCAGGGTAATTCGGGGGCCCCGGAATGGAGTGAAACTGAACTTGTGTGACTAGGAGAAATGTACTGTTTCTTGCAGTGTCTTGGTTTATATTTTTATTGTCTCCTGGAATTCTTATTTTTTGGACCTTATGTGTATTGATGCGTGATTATTGTTTTTCCTTTGATATTTCTAATATTTCTAGCTCACAGGCTAAGAAGAAAACCCTAAATTTCTACTTGGGGGTTTTAAGTTTTAAGATAGAGGCAAAAAGCATATGGGGGAAATTTGATTCAGAAAACGAGGATCAGAGAACATAAGAATATAGAAATGGTAATTATTCAAAGTCAATGATTTCAGGCTGACACCAGAACGAATGGAATGTTATCCCAAAGCATGAATAGTAGAACAAATGACTGGAATGGCTAAAATTAGAGTAGGATTAGGCAGCTTTGAATCCATCCTGTCTTTTCCTTGCAATTATCCCAAAGAAGTTCCAGAACTCTGAGAGTTCTGAGCAACACTGGATTCCATTTCCATATATGTCTAGTTAAGGGAGAGGAGAACTAGTACTTAAGAGAAAAAAAGATGGGAAGAAAGGCTCAGAAGACAGTGAATAGCAGATTTGACTCATAAAAATACTAGAGAAATATTTACATGTGGCAGGAAACAGATGGCAACAAAAAGATGTAATTGAAAAGAGTAATTAAAACCTGATAATGAAGTTGATTCTATTATGTGTTTGAAGGGGAAAACCCATACGACTGCAATATGTATTTTATAAAATTAAACATCCATTTAGTATAAAAAGGCCTTTGCTTCTTGTATTTTAAGACTTAGTTTTTTTTAGTGCAGTTTTATGTTTACAGCAAAATTGAGAAGAAGGTACAGAGATTTCCTATAGACTGTAACTCCTAATCCCACCTAGGCTCAGCCTCTATTATCAACATCCATCCAGAGTGTTACATTTGGTACAAGTGCTGAACTTACACTGATACATAATTATCACCCCAAGGCCATAGTTTATATAGGGTTCATTCCAGGTCTTGTGCATTCTGTAGGTTTGAACAAAAGTACAATGGCATATATCCATTACTATAGTATACAGAGTAGTTTCACTGCCCTATAAGTGCTCTGTGTTTTGTGTATTTATCCTCTCTCCCCTCTAAACTATGGCAACCACTAATCTTTTCAGTGTCTCCATAGTTTCTGCCTTTTTCTGAATATCATAAAGTTGGAATTATACAGGATATAGACTTTTCATAGTCTTTTTTCACTTAGTAATAGGTATTTCAGTTTCCTCTTTGTCTTTTCATGGCTCTATAGGTCATTTTTTAAGCACTGCATAATATTCCATTGTCTGCAGGTGTTGTAAAAATGTGTGTGTGGGTTTTTGTGTAGGCATCAATTTTCAAACCCTTTGGATAGATACCATGGATCGTATTGTAAGGGTTTGTTTAGTAATTTAAGAAACTGCCCAATCTGGGCACCTGGGTGGTTGAGTCAGTTAAATATCTGACTTCGGCTCAAGTCATGATCTCACAGTTTGTAAGTTTGAGCCCTACACTGGGCTTTCTGCTGTCAGCGCAGAGCCCACTTCAGATCCTGTCTCCCTCTCTCTGCTCCACCCCACTAAAAAATAAACATTAAGAAAAAATTAAAAGGAAACTGCCAAACTGTATTCCAAAGTTGCTGTAGCTTTTTGCATTCCCACCAGCCATCAGTGAGTCCATGTTGCTTTACATTCTTGCCAGCATTCGGTATTATTAGTGCTTTAGATTTTGGCCATTCCTTGTGTAATTGCTGTCATTCATTTCACTTGTATATAAATATACTCTATTTCCAATTAAACGTGTATATATATATATATATGCATATACACACACAGTACATAAATATACACATACATATATACATATGTGTATATATACACACAGTACATAAAATATATATAAACATGTATCCAAAGAATACATCATTACTATTATTTTGAATAAAATTATTTTTAAATGAATTAAGAAAAAAAAGTTTTTATTTTAACTACACTTATTCATTCTCCAATACTCTACCTTCTTTTATATAGATTTGACTTTCTGCCTTTCATTATTTCCTTCTCTTTGAAGAACTTTTAACATTTCTTATATGGCAGTTCCCCTGGAAACAATTTCCTTCCATTTTTGTTTGTTTGAGAAAGTCTTTCATTTCTCCTTCAGTTTTGAAGGGTAGCTTTGTAGGATTCAGTGTTCTAGGGTGATGGGTTTTTTTTTTCTATTAACAATTTAGATATTTTACTTTATTATTATTTTTTTTGCATGCCTTCTTAGAAGTTGTATATAATTCTCATCTTTGTTACATAGTAATATCAGAGATCACTGATCATAGATCAGCACAAAAATATAATGTAGACAAAGTTTCAAATATTGCAAGAATTAACAAAATGTGACACAGAGACACAAAATGAGCAAATGCTATTGGAAAAATGGTGCTGATAAACTTACATGCTTGCCACAAACCTTCAATTAGTAAAAACCACAATATATGCAAAGTACAAGAAAGTGAAACACAATGAAACAAGGTATGCCTGTATATCTAGTAACAGCTTCAAAATACAGGAGGCAAAATTGACAAAATTAAGTCAAAAACGCTATGACAGAAATGAAGAATGCCTTTGATGACCTTATTAATAGGCTGAGTGTATACAGCTGAGGAAAGAATCTCTAAGCTAGAGAATATATGAAATCTCCAAAACTGAAAAACAAAGAGAATAAACACTTAAAAAGAAAAAAAAAAAAAAGAACAGGATATCCAAGGACTGTGAGGCCACTCCCAAAACATGTAAAATACGTGTAATGGAAAAATCAGAAGAAGAAGAATGATAGAAAGGAACAGAGGACATCTTTGAAACAGTGGCTGAGAATTTCCCCAAGTTCACTCTGTACCACCAAAGTTCCAGGAAGCTTGGAGAACACCAAGCAGGAAAAATGGCAAATAAAAAATCCTAGACTTGGTATATTATATGCAAATTATAGCAAATCAAAGATTAAAAAGTTCTGCAAAAAGCCAGAGAAATAAAACACCTTATAGAGAAACAAAGATGAGAATTATATACAACTTCTCCTAAGAAGCCATGCAAAAAAAAAAAAAAAAGAATGAAGTAAAAATTTTAAATTGTTAATAGAAAAAACCCCCACCACCCTAGAACACTGAAGCCTACAAAGCTACCCTTTAAAAGTGAAGGAGAAATAAAAGAGTTTCTCAAACAAACAAAAATGGAAGGAAATTGTTTACAGGGGAATTGCCTTGTAAGAAATGTTAAAAGAATATTATCTGATTTTACATTTCCTTGTTTCTTTCCGTGTTTTGTAATTTTGAAATGTGAGCTCATAATTGTGTGGCTTTGAGTCTGAAAACTGGTTTGAATATAGAAATTTGGTGAAGGACAATGATTTTCCATTATGGCAACTAACTTGAGTCTTTACTCACTGCTATGGACTGAATGTGTCCTCCAAAACTCATATTGAAACCTAATCTCCAATGGGATGTTATTTCAAGATGGAAGTTTTGGGAGGTAATTTTGTCATGAGGATGGAGCTCTAAGATTAGTACCTTTATAAGAAGACTCAAGAGAGACTCCTTCTCTCTCCCTCTGCCACTCCATGTGAGAATACAGTGAGAAGACAGCTGTCTGCAAGCCAGGAAGTGGACACCATGTCTGCTAATGCTTTGATCTTAGACTTCCAGCTTCTAGAACTGTGATATAAAGTGTTTATTATTTAAGCCACCTTATGGTATTTATGTTGCAAGAGGCAAAACTGTTGTAAGACACTCATTTATCCTTGATCTGGTCATATCGGGCAAATCACACTGTCTTTGGCTGCCTTTCTCTTTTACCCCTATGAACACTAAGATTTATTTAGCTTTTGACACAAATCCTTCAGGTCAGCACCTCTTGGTTGTCATTATGACCTTGCTACTGTTTATGATTATCTACTTTGCCCCTGACTATTAAGTGTTCTAAACTTATCTTGGTATTACAGAGTCCTATTACCCTTTCTGAGGCCACCCTCTTATTTCCCCACAGATGATGGGAACCTCTGTAGATAGTGTGCATGGGTATCAGCAGTCACTTGATTCTGCTGGATTGGGAGAAGGCCCACAATCCTGAACACTTCAGGCCACTTCCCTCTTGTAAATAAATACTTGGATTTCAGAATTCTGTTTGTTTTTGTGGGATGGAGAGAAAACAGAATACTATGACATCCACCTGAAGAAGGAACCTGGGGGATGGAGAAGGTGCATCCTTAGGAAAGGCCTGAGACCTCCCAGAGTCTCTAGCTAGGCTGACAGGTGGAGATCTTTTTCTGAAGAAGCCAGTCAATAAAGCCTGGGGGAGGTGACAATTTCTTCGAGTGTGAAGACACTAGGAATGCACAACTTTCCAAAAAGTCAAGGAAATATGACACCACCAAAGGAACAAAACCAAGCTCCAGTGGCTAATCTCAAAGAAATGGGGCTCTACATGCCTGACAAAGACTTCAAAAACAGTCTACTTAAGGAAGGTCAGTGAGCTACCAGAAAACACAGACAACTAAACAACATCTGGAAAACAATACATGAGCAAAGGGAGAGTTCACAAAAGAGGTAGACATCATGAAAAGGAGGGGCGCCTGGGTGGCTTAGTCGGTTAAGCGTCCGACTTTCGCTTAGGTCATGATCTCGCAGTTCGTGGGTTTGAGCCCCGCTTCGGGCTCTGTGCTGACTGCTAGCTCAGAGCCTGGAGCCTGCTTCAGAGTCTGTGGCTCCCTCTCTCTCTGACCCTCCCCTGCTCACGCTGTCTCTCTCTCTCTCTCTCTCTCCTAGAAATAAATAAAACATTAAAAAATTAAAAAAAAAAAAAGAAATCATGAAAAGGAGCCAAACACAAATTGTGGAGCAGAATTATTCAATGACTATCCTCAAAAATTCAATCAAGAGTTCCAACATCATATCTGTCAAGCAGAAGAAATATATTGTTTTAATTTATTTATTGTTTAATTTATATCCAAGTTAGTTAGCATATGGTACAACAATGATTTCAGGAGTAGATTCCATAATGCCCCTTTCCCATTTAGGCCATTCCCCTCCCACAACCACTTCAGCAACCCTCTGTTCTCTATATTTAAGAGTCTTTTACGTTTTGTGCCTCTTCCTGTTTTTATATTATTTTGTTCCCCTTCCCTTATGTTCATCTGTTTTGTATCTTAAAGTCCTCATATGAGTGAAGTCATATATTTGTCTTTCTCTGACTGACCAATTTCACTTAGCATAATACTCTCCAGTTCTATCCACGTAGTTGCAAACGGCAAGATTTCATTCTTTCTGATTGCCGAGTAATACTCCATTGTGTGTGTATATATACATATATATACCACATCTTCTTTATCCATTCATCCATTGATGGACATTTGGGTTCTTTCCATACTTTGGCTATTGTTGATAGTGCTGCTATAAACATTGGGGTGCATGTGCCCCTTCAAAACAGCACACCTGTATTCCTTAGATAAATGCTTAGTAGTGCAATTGCTGGGCTGTAGAGTAGTTCTATTTTTAATTTTTGAGGAACCTCCATACTGTTTTCCAGAGTGGCTGCACCAGTTTGCATTCCCACCAGCAGTGCCAAAGAGATCCTCTTTCTCTGCATCCTCATCAGCATCTGTTGTTGCCTGGGTTGTTAATGTTAGACATTCTGACAGGTGTGAGGTGGTATCTCATTGTGGTTTTGATTTGTATTTGATTTGCATTTCCCTGATGATGAGTGATGTTGAGCATTTTTTCGTGTGTCTGTTGGCCACCTGGATGTCTTCTTCAGAGAAGTGTCTATTCATGTCTTTTGCCCGTTTCTTCACTGGATTATTTGGGGTTTTTTTGGCATTGAGTTTGATAAATTTATTATAGATTTTGGATACTAACCCTTAATATGATATGTCATTTGCAAATATCTTCTCCCATTCCATTGGTTGCCTTTTAATTTTGCTGATTGTTTCCTTCGCTGTACAGAAACTTTGTATTTTGATGAGATCCCAATAGTTCATTTTTGCTTTTGTTTCCTTTGCCTCTGGAGATCTGTCGAGTAAGAAGCTGCTGCGCCCAAGGCCAAAGAGGCTTTTTCCTGCTTTCTCCTCTAGGATTTTGATGGCTTCCTGTCTTACATTTAGGTCTTTCATCCATTTTGAGTTTATTTTTGTGTATGGTGTAAGGAAGTGGTCCAGGTTCATTTTTCTGCATGTTGCTGTCCAGTTTTCCCAGCATCATTTGCTGAAGAAACTCTCTTTAGTCCACTGGATATTCTTTCCTCGTCAAAGATTAGTTGGCCATACATTTATGAGTCCATTTAGGTTCTCTTTCTGTTCCATTGATCTGAATGTCTGTTTTTGTGCTGGTACCATACTGTCTTGATGATTACAGCTGTGTAATACAGCTTGAAGTCTGGGATTGTTATGCCTCTAGCTTCGGTTTTCGTTTTCAAGATTGCTTTGGCTATTCGGGGTCTTTTCTAGTTCCATACAAATTTTAGGATTGTTTGTTCTATCTCTGAAAAGAATGCTGGTGTTATTTTGATAGGTAAGCAGAAGAAATAATTAGTGAACACAAAAACCTATTTTAAATTATCCAGTCAGAGATAAAAAGCAAACAAACGAAAGGAATAGAAATGAGTGAAGAAAGTCTATGGGTATTATGAAACATCAACAAACAAATAATATAGGCATTCTCGTAGCCCCAGATGAGCATAAAAGAGAAAGAAGCAGAAAGCTTATGAAAAATAATAATTAACATCCTAAATCTGTGGGGGATAGGGTGGGGAATGAACATCCAGATGCTTGGAGATCAAGGAATTTGACTGACCATAAAGAAATGTTCACTGAGACACATTATAGTCAAATTGAAAAGAGAGACTTTCGAAAGCAGCAGGGGAAAAGTGACCTGTCACACATAAAGGAACCCCAAACTAGCAGATTTCCCAGCAGAGACCTTTCAGTTCAGGGAAGTAGGATGATATATTCAAAATGCCTTTGAAAGATAAAGCCTGCCATGGAAGAATACTTTACTTGGCAAAGCAGAGATAAAGGTGCAAGAAAGATACTTCTAGAAAATACAAAACCTAATGGACCTCATTAATACGAAACCTGCTTACAAGAAATTCTGAAGGGAGTTCTTCAAATTGAAATAAGAGGATGCTAATTAGCAACATGGTGTCATACGAACAATAAAACACACCGATGTAATGGTAGTGTGCAAATCACTTTTAACATTAGTACAAATGCCAAAAAGTATTAAAAATAATTATAGCTATAGTCATCTGCTAGTGAATACACGAGTTAAAAATATGGAAATTGTGACATCAGTAAAATAAAATGGGAGGAGGAGTTGTAAACGTACGGAGTATTGTATGCAATGAAGTTATATTGTAATCAGCTTAAAATAACTATAAGGTGTCTTATGTAGGCCTCATAGTAACCACAAAGAATAACATCTGCTAAATACATAAAAGACATAGAAAAAAGAATCAAATCATACAGCTACAAAAAATTATCAAATTATATAAGAAGTCAACAAGAGAGAAAGAAAGGAACAAAGGGACTTCAAAACAGTCAGAAAATAATTAACAAAAGGGCAGTAGTAACTACTTACCTGTCAGTTATCTTAAGATAAACTGACTACATTCTCCAATCAGAAGGTGCATAGCGGGCGAATGGATAAAAAACTAAGAATCAATAATATGTCACCTACAAGAGACTGACTTTAGATAAAGATACACATAGGCTGAAAGTGAATGGATGGAAAAAGTGTTCCATGCAAATGAAAACCAAAAGAAAGCAATGATAGCTATCCTTATCTTAGAGAAAATAGACTTTCTCAAAAACTGTAACTAAAGACAGAATATCACTACCTAATGTTAAAGGAGTGAATTCACCAAGAGAATTTAACCTTTGTAAATATTTATGCACCCAACGTCAGAGCACCTAAATATATTGAGCAACTATTAACGGAACTGAGGAAGAAATAGAAAGGAATACAGCAATTGTAGAAAACTCTAACACCCCACACTGAAAAAGTGGATAGATCGTTCTGACAAAAAAATCAACAAGGAAGCAGTGGGCGTAAGCCAAATGGCCTAAAAGGCATGTACAGAAGATTCTTTCCAACAACAGCAGAACACATTTTTCTCAAGCACACACAGAATATTCCAAAGACAAAACCATATTTTTAAAAAATGTTGTTTTTTAAAAAATATTACTTCAATACATTTTTTTTAGAACCCAAAGGAAGGAATGTATGTGGATCTCATGTACTATGGATTTAAAAACTTGAGCTAGGTGAAGAGTATCATTTTCTCTCTCTCTCTCTCTCTCTGCTTCTGTTTCATTCTTCCCAAGATGGTTGTATTAGTCAGGGTTCCCCGGAGAAAAAGAACAGCAGAGAGAAAAGAGACGGGGAGAGAGAGAGAGAGTGAGAGAGAAGGCAGAAAAGGGTGGAGGGAACAAGGGAGTGAAGAGAGATTGATTTTTTTAAGGTTTATTCATTTATTTTTCAGGGGGGAGGGGGAGAGAGAGGGGGACAGAGAGAGAGAATCCCAAGTAGGCTCCACTCTGTCAGCATGGAACCTTATATGGGGCTTAAATTCAGGAACCATGAGATCATGTTCTGAGCCAAAATCAAGAGTCTGATGCTTAACTAACTGAGCCCCCAGGTGCCCCAAGATAATTTTACTTTTAAAACTTAACTCAGGTGATTGTAGAGTCTTGGCAAGTCCAAAATCTAGAGTGGGCCAGCAGATCTTGATCCAAGGAAGAATAGTAGTTTGTGTCTGAAGGCAGTCAGCTACAGAACTCCATTTCCAGTAGGTCATTCTTTTTTTCTATTAAGGTCTTTAATTGATTGAACAAGGTCCACCCACATTATGGAGGGTAGCTTGTTTTACTGACAGTGTATTCATTTAAATGTTAATCTTATCTAAAAAAAATACTTTCACAGAAGCATCGAGAATTATGTTTAATTAATACCAAGGAACCATGGTCTAGCCAGGTTGACACAAAATTAGCCATCACAGTAGGAAAATGGAGAAAAAAGAGAGATGAACTATTCTTCTTAGTCTGGTTCTAACATTCTTGTGAAAGTATTCTCACTTGTGCAGCTGGGTGAGGTGCCCACCAGTGGATCAAACAACTTTAATCAGAGGGTAGATCTGGAGAAAGCACTATAATCAGCCCCCATCAATAACCCATTGTAGTGAGGAAGTGGGTGGGGGCAGGCTTACCTTGGAGAAAAGTATTGCCAAATACAGAACAAGATGTTTAATAAATAGGAAAATCATTGATTAAGGGCTTATGATGTAATTTTCAAATATTAACCTGTTTTTCTAATAATAATGGAATAATTTCTCTTTTTGCAAAGTTTGTTGCAGAATGTAGTTACAGCTAATTGATTATCTATCATGTAGTATGCAAGATTTGTGGCTCGAATTCTATTAGTAACTAAAATTAATTTCATTTATTTTCTAGCTTCAACAAATAGTTCACTTACGGGCAGACAACAGAGAAGTTTCACACCTCCTGCAGCAGGTAATAAGCTTTTAAATTTTTTTCCAGAGGCCAGAGCTAAGGGGAGGAAGAGCTGAACTTCCTTAGAAGCAGGGCTGATGGTCTGGCCAGGGGGCCAGCGTGAGCCCAGCTGAAGAAAACGGTGACCTGAGTGCCGAGGTGTGAGGGACCCCGATGACCCGGCCCTCCTCCCCCGAGGCAGTTCACATTCCCTCTGAGGACTAAGGAGCCCTCCCTGCCAGGCACTGGGCTGGGCCATATGGGGACACGGGGGGCCGGGGGGGGACGAGAGGGGCGAGAGCACCAGAGCACCCTAAGGGGCCCATTTTGTGGGGGAGCCCAGATGTAGCCCAGATGGCATATAACATAGAGGAGATGAGCACCCACATCAGGTGTGCCGGGAACGTAGAGGAGAAGGTTAAGCAGCAAGGCTCTGAGGAGGCTTCACAGCGGATGCAGCATGTGAATTGGCTCTTAGGGGAAGAGGAGCATTTTCGGAGACAGACAGTGGCGTGCAGGCCACCCCAGAGAGGGCAGGAACGATGTGAGGACAGACCTAGATCTGCAGGTGTGCTTGGTGCTTTCTTTGTGAAGTGTGGGGGTGACCTTGGGGTGGCAGGATGGCAAAGGTGAGTCAGTGTGAAAAAGAGGCCTTAGAAGCCAACGCCAGGACATGCAAGGACTGTCTTGGGGCAGAGGGAGGTCTCTGAAGGCTGCTAGAGGGAGGGGATCACACCCGTGTCACAGAATCCTGGACCTGCTGCAAGGCCAGGCGTGAACTGAAGAGGGGAGAGATGGGAGACAGACACAGACGTCAGGAGGCTTCTGCGGGCACCCAGCTGTGTGGACCTAGGGTCTGGCAGTGAGCACAGAAAGGAAAAGCCCAAAAGCCCATGGGGGTTGTCTGTGTGCAGAAGGCGGGAGGAGACGGGAGGAGAGTCGTAGACACAGGAAGCAGGAAAGCTGGGACGTGACTGCTGGTTCCGGAGCAAAGGGGGTGAATCTACCCACTTTCCCTCTGTGACGGGAGGTGAAATCCCCGTAGCTGATCACAGGGCTGTGAGATTATATTTGAGAGACAGGTGCCAGCCCCTCTGAGTGTGGAGGAGACCTGGTCACTGGTAAATTATCACAACCGGTGTGAACGGAGAAAGAGTGAAAAACAGCGGTCACAGGTAGAGGGGGTTGCTGGAGGGCAGAGAGCAGAGGAAGGTGAGAGAACAGACAGTGTCCACGGTGCTTGGGATCCTCACCCTGGGAACTTCTCTGGAGATGGTGCCCCTCTTAAAACACATATGATTATTTGATTAGCTAGTACTTTTTCATTTTTATGAAAGTTTATTTATTTATTTTGAGAGAGAGGGAGAGAGGGAGAAGGAGAGAGAGAGAGAGCGAGCATGTACATGTGAGTGGGAGAGGAGCAGAGAGAGAAGGAGAGAATCTCAAGTAGGCTGTGCAGGGTCAGCCCAGAGCATGACGCAGGGCTGGCTCTCAGGAACGATATCATGATCTGAGCCAAAATTGAGAGTTGTATGCTTAACTGACTGAGTCACCTAGGCACCCCACTATTACTTTCCTTTAAGAGAATAGAGTCAGATCTTAAGGATAAATAGCAGGCAAAATAGTAAAACCTTAGACTGTTCACAAGCAGAAGTGCAAACCCCTGAGGTCAGAGAAGAATATTCACAATGTGCTCTCACTGGCCTATTCTCATTCTGGTTTCATCTTCAGCACCTCGACCTTGGGCACACGGAGCTCACCCACACCCCCCTCTGGCTGTTCTCCAAGCAGCCACCTTCTTGCTTTCCTCTAAGACTAGACCGAGGTGTAGGATTCCTGTGCCACTTGCTGTGGTGGAAGAGGCATGGATGTAACTGCTGTCTCTGAACTGCTTTAAAATACCCCCTTGCTTCACATAGTTATGGGATCTTGATTTGTCGTGAAATGCAAGGGCTTTATTCCATCACAGAAGAGGCAAGTGACATCAAAAAAGGAGAGAAGGGATCTCAAATGAAGAGTTTAGCAGTCACAACCTCCATCCAGATAACCACTTTGCTCTATTCAGCTAGTTCTGCTCACATTGAAGTGATGAGCTCCCTGCCCATCACCTGGGTTACAGGTGCAGGGACCCTGATTCCCCTAATCCCCTCTCAGCAAAGCCCTCCCAGTCATGGAAACATGATATTGGTTTATGGAGAAGCCAGAACTATTATATAGTAGATATCGTGGAGGTTGCAGGGCTTTATTTTTACTTTAAAGTTGGATGAAAGAAGTAAATTTATTTAATTCTCATAATTAGATAGAATATACAGACACACTCTGTGAGCAAAGTTCAAAGTTGAACTGTTTGGCAGTCCACATGTGACTCAATAGGAAGGAAGGAGGGAAGGAAGGAAGAAAGGCAGGCAGGAAGGAAGGAAGGAAGGAAGGAAGGAAGGAAGGAAGGAAGGAAGGAAGGAAGGAAAGGTGGGATCTATTGATTTTACTGACTGTGTGATTCTCCAAATAAAAAATAGCTTTAAAATGTGTAGCTTGGGGGGGTGCCTGGTTTGGTTCAGTCATGTAAACATCTGATTCTTATTTTTGGCTCAGGTCATGATCTCACAGTTTGTGGGATCGAGCCCCACATTGGGCTCTGCACTGTCAGCAGGGAGACTGCTTGGGATTCTCTGTCTCCCTCTCTCCCTGCCCCTCCCCACTCACTCCCTATCTCTCTCAAAATAAATAAACATTAAAAAAATGTCCAGCTAGGTCAAGATGAATGTTTTATGATGTTTATATTTGTTTGTCAGCAGTAGCACCCTTAAAAATAGGCATTTAGTTCTGATATTACTGATTCTCTCTCATCAAAACTTAGGAGGAGAAAACCAAATCACCAATTTTCCCACTTTCTATGCTGAGAAATATGAGTTATAAGAAAGTGAAATAGTGTCTATGACCAAATGATTAGATTTAGGTGACTGTCCTTTAAATTATATTGTGTTTTCTTGTTTGTTTTATACATATCAAAACTTCTGAAGTACTTTTTAAAATTCTTAAATATTTATCACACATATAATAAATACAGTTTTTGTAAGAACACACTATACAGGAGAAAAATAAGGTTATCTTTGGATTAGTTTTAATGTACCCTATGCATTTTGCACATTTAATATTTTTTGCAAATCTTATATTTTTGGAATAAGACCACCAGCAAAGTCATGGTCTAGTACCACTTTATGTAATATGTTGTAGAAAATTTATTTATTTTTTCTTTTTAAAAATTTTTAATGTTTTATTTATTTCTGAGAGAGAGAGAGACAGTGTGGGCATGGGAGGGTCAGAGAGAGAGGGAGATACAGAATCTAAAAAGGCTCTAGGCTCTGAGCTGGCAGTCAGCACAGAGACCGACAGCCATGAGCCATGAGATCATGACCTGAGCCGAAGTCAGACGCTTAACCAACTGAGCCACCCAGGCGCCCCTGTTGTGAAAAATTTAACATGAATTTCTTTATCAAGCTTGTCTTTCATCATTCTCTTTTGTGTGTGTCCAGCTAACACTTCCCTGTCTGTACGTGTGGGTACAAAGGCTGTGCTCTCTTGCCTTCCCGTCACCTCGACAGCTGTGCAGGTAACCACCTGGGAAATAACCCTCAGAGACCAGCCTGCCTGCACTAGAGCCTACAGGAGAGATACGAACGAGACCAGGGCCAAAAACTGTAGTGACGAGACAATATCCTGGGACACCAGACATGATCAGAACCCTGTCCTTCAGATTGATCCAGTGGCCATCACCCATGATGGATATTACAGGTGTGAAGTGGCCACACCTGAAGGGAATTTCTATCAGGGATATCACCTGCAAGTGACAGGTAAGGAGCATCATGTATGGTGGTGTTTCGGATAACCCGATTCGGACTCAAACAAATGTCTCTCTGTATTGGATCCATATCCCTGAGTTAAGACTCAAGTGTTTCCCCCCCTGCATGTCTGCAGTGCCCCCTGAGGCGACCCTGTTTCGAGGCAAGAATGGAACTGTCGTGTGCAGGGCAGCTGCAGGGAGGCCAGCGGCGCAGATCTCCTGGACCCCAGCGGGAGATTGTGACACTGAGGAAGAGCCACTGGGCAATGATACAGTGACTGTGCAGAGCACGTGCCTCTGGGAGGACCACCCGGTGTCCACTGTGTCCTGCTCTGTGTCCCATCTCACTGGCAACGAGAGTCTGTCCATAGAGTTGATTCAAGGTAATCACCTGTTTTATTTAGTGTAATGAACTTGTTCCTCATCATTTTCCTCCACTGATTATGAGTAACCAAGAAGAAAGTAACCAAGAAGAAAGGAACTTGTGGTCCTGATTTGAAGATATTCCCTAAAACTTAACTGGGTAATGCATTAGTAGGCTAGAGAAATAGTTCCTATTTCTTTCTCAAATGGAAGGAATAAATTTAATAACTTTTTACCAATACATTCTCTAAATACGTTTCATTCTGGAGTCCGTGAACATTTTTTTAAAAAATATTTTTATTTATTTCTAGGAGAGAGAGAGAGAGACAGCATGAGCAGGGGAGGGTCAAAGAGAGAGGGAGATACAGACTCTGAAATAGGCTCCAGGCTCTGAGCTGGCAGTCAGCACAGAGCCTGACGCGGGGCTCGAACCCACGAATGGCGAGATCATGACCTAAGCGAAAGTCAGTTGCTTAACCGACTAAGCCACCCAGGCGCCCCCGTGAACATTTTTTTAAACTTAGTATCTACTGACTTTTACTTTGAGATTAATATTCATATAAAATAGCAAAACTTGTACATAATTTAACAATACTTATTCAGTAGATAGATAAGATAGATTCTTGTAATCACCCCTTTTTGTTACTCTGAGTAAGAGACAAGATTTCCTTCCTCCATTTCCTTGTCATCTGAAATCTATACAGCAATTCATTCGCCTAATATTTATTGAATGTTCTTATGTGCTTGAGGCTGTCATAGAAAGATGAAAAGACAAGGCCCATGCCTTCATATCATTCCAGAATGTATAACCTGGTGGTTAGAAGAAAAGCCTTTGGCACACTATGGCTTTTTGCATACCAGCTGTGTGAGTGGAAACAATATTTATTTCTTTGTCTCATGGCTTTTAAAAAAATTGAGATATAATTGACATATAATGTCACTTAATTTCAGGTGTACACATAATGATTTGATATTTGTGTATTCTGCAAAATGATCACACCAATTAGTTTAGTTACATCTCATGGTTTCGTCATCGGTAAATGAGATGACAGAACCCACCTCACGGAGTTATCTTGAGAATTTAAAAAGAATAATATATTGGCTTAACATAGTGCCTATCACAGAGTTGGTACTCAATATATTTTAGCTACTGTATTTACTATACTAACAAATGTTATCTCTTATGTTTATATTAATAAATGTTGGTTACTTTATTGATTACATTAATACATATTAGCTATAGTATTCATTATTATACTATTAAAAACCATCATATCCTGTTAATTATTCCTCATACCATCTCTCAAAATCATTTTTTGCAACCATTTTATTGAGACCAAATTTATGTACCGTACAATTCACCCACTTTAAGTGGTCTCTGGTGCGTTCACAGGTAGGTAACCATCGTCCCAATCAATTTTAGAATATATTCCTCACTCCAAAAGGAAACCTCTACCCTTTAGCTATCACTCTCTAGTCCCAGAAATCTGCCAGCATTAGGCAACCACTAATCTACTTTCTGTTCCTGTAGATTTTCCCATTTTGGTCATTTCACATTTATGGAACCATAAAATATGTGCCCTTTGGTACTGACTTCTTTCCCTTGGGATAATGTTTTCAAGCATTATCCATGCTGTAGCATATACTAGTGCATTCACTTCGATTCCTTATTTTCCATTTTCAATCTCCCACCGACTCTAGGCCCTTATTTTATACTTCTTATCTCTGGAGATATGCAGTTATCTGCAGTTGCACCTTACTTTTCCTGCCACAGACCAAGTATTTAACCTATACTCTATATGTGTTTTTCCCTTCCATGTCCTGAGAGACTTTGCTTCAGTAATTATCCTTGCTCTCTTTTGTTCAGTCTTTGTTCCACAAATCCTTTCCTTAAGGCTGATTATATGAACTTGCCTGTTTTCCTCCCGTGTTTAAAAATAGATGCTATGACTTCTTCAAACTCTTAGCTCTTGCCTTTCACTCACATCCAAGATGATTTAAAAGAGGCATCTATATTCACTGCTTCTTCTAAATCACTTCACATCTACCCCCTTAACTCTCCTGGAATCTCTCTGAACAGGAAATGTTCTAACAAAAAGCTAAAGCCCTCTCTGATGCCAAACAAAATAGAAAATTTTAATTCTAAGTTATTAATTAGCTTCTTTGTGATATTTGATATGGCCTTTCCTCTCTTCTCACCTATTTTCCTCCCATAATTACTTGGTTCTCTTCTTAATCTTTAGTCAACTTCTTTATCTTAGATAGATTGATTTCCATCTATTCATTCTATGAAGGAAGGCATTTCAATGAGTTCCATCATTGGCTCTATTCTCTTTTCACCTTTACCCCTATTCCTTGAAGGATCTCATCCATACATGTGGCTCCAACTGCTGCCTAATTCTTGACTCTCAAATACGTATATTTAGCCCAGATTTCTCTCCTTGGATATATGATCAAAACCAGTTTCCAGTCGAATGTCTTCAAATGGATGCATCCATATGCTCTCAACTTGCATATTCCTGAAAAGGAATTCCTCTTCTTCATCCCTCCATAGGCTCCATACTTATATTTTGTCTTGATAAATGACTCAAGCCAGAAAATTAGAGATATCCTACAATATCACTCTTACTTATTTCCCATATTCAAAATCAGCCACTATGTTATGTTGATTTTATCTTAAAATTTTTTCTTAAATCTAGATCTTTTTCTTTTTCTCCTTTGCTTGGTGGAGCACATGATCATCTCTCCCCAAATTATTACAGTATCCTTGTAATAGGTCTTCTGGCCTGTAACTTACCTCCCTCCAATTTATGACCTACACTGTTGCCAGTGGCTTTAAAAATTTTTTTTCTTAATATTTATTTATTTATTTTTGAGAGAGACAGAGACAGAGTGTGAGTGGGGGAGGAGCAGAGAGAGAGGGATACACAGAATCCGAAGTAGGCTCCAGGCCCTGAGCTGTCAGCACAGGGTCCGATGCGTGGCTCGAACCCACGAGCTGCGAGATCATGACCTGAGCCGAAGTTGGACGCATAACTGACTGAGGCACCCAGGCACCCCTAAAGTGACATTTCTAAAATGAAAAACATTTTAGCCCCAGTGGCTTCTCTTTGTCTCTGGGAAAGCTAAACCCCTTTGATCTGCTGTTCTCTTTAGGCTCCTGTCTTGCTAATCTTTAGCCTGCACCCATGCAATGTGGGGCTGTTTGGACCCCTCAAAAGGGTTATCTTTTCTTATTCTCCTGTACACGCAATTGTACATCATGCACGTAATTGCTACTTCTCCACAATGCATTTCTTTCCTCATACGCTCTTCTTTCATTCCATTTGTTCAATTCCTATTGAAGTCTTAAGACTTAGTTCAAAATCGTTTCTCTGGGATAATTTTCCTTCTCCCTGCAGTTTGGTTAGCTGTTCCTACTCTGTGCTCATGTAAGGCCCCATGTACCGCATAGTACATGCCTCTGAGTACCTCGTAGTCCCGTAATTGATGGTCCACTTCTCTGACTCCCAGTACAGCATAAACTCCTTTAGAGTAAGAACCATATTCTTCATTTCTCTATCCCCAGGGTCTGTCACAGTGCCTGACACATACAAATAACTACAGAAGTAGGTTCAGATCATCACAGTCTTCATCTCCATGTATCCCACTCTCTGCTCCCTTACATTTGAATTAAGATAATGAATTCTTCAAGTCTTTGCTCAAATTATTTCTTTCCCTTTAAAAGTTCTTCCTTCTTCTCTTAACGTATGTAATCCTGTTATTGTCAAGGCTCAGTTCAACCCAGTTGGCCCTGACCTCCCAGTTGGAGTCGATTCAGTTTTCTTATTCCTTAGATGATTTACAATCTGTAATGCTCACTTAGCACGGGTTGCTCTCTTATAAGTGATCTTTTCATTTGTACGTAAATGACTTCTCTAATTGGATTGTGAGTTTTTGAGGGCTGTGACTGTGTCTTCCTCTTCCCTGATAGTGCCAAAAAAGGAGGTTGTCTCACAGTGTTCTGGTTTAGTATTTGAGCAGGTTATTTAACAGGATGACATTTATTTTGGAGCCAAGAGTCAGAATAGTTTACTTTGGTTGCCATTTTCATAGAAGTAAAACTTCAGAATGATAGTCCGAATTAGTTTCATTTTATCTTTTCAATAATTCTTGAGGCCATTTTACAGATAAATAAATGAAAGTAGGGAGACATAAACTATCCTACTAAATTAAAGGGTTCCAGCAGCTCAGTGACAAAACTACTCTACTGTGTGGAAAGTATTATCAGATAGTGCTCAAAATGTTAATACTCCCAAAGACTAACATTTACAAAGGAAATTAGAAAGTATATTTACTTTTTTTCTTATAAAATTGGGAAGTACTAACAATGCTTACTGTGTATTTATTCATTCAGAAAGTATTTATTGAAAATCTACTGTGTATAAAACAGACATGGTTCCTAAACTCTGTGATGAAAGAATATCTTAGTCTAGAAGATGTTTTGATTACGATAGTCTGTGAACTTTTACGAATATTTTAAAAGTCTCTTTTAAACAATTGACCCTATTTTGTTTATTAGAGGAATCTTGAAGTGACTCTTCATCACTGCCTGTGTTGCTTGTATTTAAGGTGTCTTAATCCTGAAATTTCCAGCATCAACCTTACTGATCATTCTGTATGTGAAATTCTCTCTATTCTTGGTTATCCTGGTCATGGTGGGACTCATCTACTTCCAGGGAATAAAAGATCGCAGGTAGGAAATAAAGACTAAAAAATATATAGACTCATTAGAAAGATGACATCATTGTAAGACTTTGAGTTTACAATATTCTGGGAAAAGCTGGACATCGTTTTTGGCATATTGTTTGTTCCCTTAGCCCCTTCTTTGATATATAAGCTTTGTTAACAGCTGAGAGCCCAGAAGACCTGTCTGCAGCCGTGGGCAAAATATTCTGATTCATTACAGTGTTTTCCTGAGAGACAACCTGTCCTAGGCCACCCTTCAAGAATTCTGTGGGGGGAATGAAGTTCAACTAGGGTTTCTTAAGTGTTTACTCTTTTGTTTCTATGCCTGTGAAGGCTTCTATTCATTACTACTTAATTATATATTTTTATTTCATTTTTGCTTAAAAATTTTTTTTAATGTTTATTTTTTAGAGAGAGAGTGTGTGAGCAGGAGAACGGCAGAGAGAGAGAGAGGGAGACCCAGAATCTGAAACAGGCTCCAGGCTCTGAATTGCCAGCGCAGTGCCCAACATGGGGCTCAAACTCACAAACCACAAGATCAAGACCTGAACTTAAGTCAGACACTTAACCGACTGAGCCACCCAGGTGTGCCTATGTTTACTTTTTATTTAAGTGTATTTACTTATTTTGAGAGAGAGAGAGAGAGAGAGAGCATGTGTGGGAGGGTCAGAAAGAGGAGAGAATCCCAAGCAGGCTCCACACTGCTAGCACAGAGCCCAACTCAGCGCTTGAACTCACAAAACGTGATATCATGACCTGAGCAGAAATCAAGAGACAGACACTTAACTGACTGAGCCACCCAGGCACCCCATGCTTAATTATATATTTTACTATTTTTTTCTTTTACAGAGCATGAAAATCGAAGAATCTGGAAGTTGATTTAGATTTGATGAGACATCACAAAAAACAACCAGTTAAGAGCAGTCTTTGGGTTCAACATCAAACTCAACTGCTCCTGTTACTATTTGATTGATATTTTTGTGTTTACGAGAATCAAAGTGATAATTGGCAAATTCTGTTTCAAACTCTTAGCATATGTATATTTACACACATGCAAAAGCTTGCTGCCTGCCATTGCCATCAATGGTGCCTAGGATGACTCATCTACTTTCCCCTTTGCCCTACTGAATTCTGATTCGCAAACAAGAAACAGCCCTGCTTCTCAGCCTAAAGAGGAAGATGACTCAGCAAAAGGCAAATAGCAATGCTGGGCTGTTTTTTCTACACCCCTTGGGTTCTTTGGCTAGTGCTTTCATCCTAGCTTCTTGTTTCCTCTGCCCTCTTAATATGCTAACTAATTTTGCAATGTCAGGAGCCATTACAAACACTGCCTTCAAGTCCACCTGTAGCTGACCTCTCATCCCTTTCTTGCTTGCTAGTAAGTAGCAGGACAGTCATATTGCATGTTTGACTTGATCGCTGAATAAATGGCCAGGAGTCATTTTTAGCACTACTTTTATTTTTGAAGAAATTATAGGTTGATTCCAAATAAGGAGTTGTTAGAGTCATTGGAGACAGTGCTGAAAGTCACCTCACCTTTTAGAGGTCCACTGTCTCAATTCTCTCTCTTGTCAGGACTGCAGGTTGGCGTGGATCAATGGTGGAGGAATAAGGGTTCTTGGGAAAACCCCAACCTATGCTAGGGCCGCTGTAAACAGGAACCCTATACGGTAATCCTATAGCAAAAAGTATTCTTTGATTAAGAGAATTTCTTTTGTAAGGTGATAGCAGGTGATTCCGGCTATTACTTTTATTTTTAGCAAGGCTTGAAGGCAGAAAATGAATGCATACTACTCTCTCGAAGATAATATATGAGTAGGATGGTCTGATTGGTGAAACAAACAACCTCCCAGTATCAGTGTATTCATACCACAAAAGTTTAATTCTCTCTCACTTCATACCCCAGCGCCGGTTGGTGGATCGAGGGCAGGAAACAGCAGTGGTTCTGCTCTAGGCTAACATTTTACCCTATGGCTCTGCCCTTCGCAGAATATTCTCCACTCATCTGGGGAATGGGAAAGACAGGGAGAACAGGGGATTCAGGTGGGAGGTTTTTATGAACCAGGCCTGGAGTAGTAATGACTTCTGCTCACATTCTATTAGCTAGTACTTGCCACATGGGCACACGAACTTCTAAGGAAGCTGAAAAATGTAGCATAGCAGGCTTGGCAGAAATAAAGTCAGGCTTGGGGTACATATGGCCAGTCTCTGCCTACTGTAGAGGATACGACGAGTGCTAAGATTAATACCTACTCCATTAGTAACTGAACATGGGCCAAGAAATAGGTTAGTAAATAATTTCATCTACAAATATACTAGCTCTTTTCTCTCTGTTTGTTTTTTTTTTATTATTATTATAAATCCCTCATATTTACAACAGGGCACAGAATGGAAAAAAGCCTAATACTGTGATTCTTTCACAGACTCAAAAACACTGGCACAGACTGCTAGTTGCCTCATCTTCCCCTTTCTCTTTGGGGCAGATTATATTCATGATTCTTAATCTTTGCCCCTCCCTCTAGCCGTGTAATTTGTCAGTGACTTTAAAGTTGGAAACATAAAATGCTTGTTTCTCTAGCCCATGTAATTTGCTTTCGCCAATTAGAATCCAATGAGATTGGAATGAGATCCAATGAGAACAGAAATGGCAGTGAACCGGTTTTGAGTCTAGGTCTCAAGAGGTCCTGTGTGTTCTACTGCTAGTCCATGAGAACATGCCTGGGTTAGTCGGCTGCAGTAGGAGAAACATGTAGAGCAGAGCTGGTTCATGCTATTCCCATTCCCCCTCTCTCTGTTGAGGCTAACCTAGGTAATCCAATAGTTAGCCGTCTCTTAGGCAAGGGAGAGGCCCATTCAAAATCAGAAGAGCTGCCTACCTGACCTTCAGATGATCCCAGACATCGAAGTGATTGTTGCCACAGAGGTTTTGTGATTGTTATACAACATCATTGTGATACTCAGTCTCTGATACATTGCTTAATAACATAACTCCAATATTATTTAGTATGGAGACACACTTAAATAAAAGACATTTCTCAGTTCCCCTTGCAACTGAGTATAACTACCCATAAAAATTTTTACAAATGAGTTGTAAACATAAATCTTGTATATCCCTTGAAAGAAAGAAGAGATCCTCTTTTGCTTTTCCCCCTTATCTCCTGGACTACAACACTGATGTAATGATGGGAGGTCCAGCAGCCAACTTGGGCCTTGACATTGGATGGATGACATTGAGGATGGAAGTCACTCACTAAGACAGTGGAAAAGAAAGACAGAAGGATCCGGGGCCTTAATGACTATGGAGTTGCCATATCAACCCTAGACTACCTACCATAAAATTCTTCTGTGTGAGAGAAAATATACTATTTTGTTCATGCCACTATTATTTTGAGTTTTACTTCATAAACAGTTGACCTTAATCCTGGTTAATGCAAATACCTAGTTTGCCATTTTCAAGGTTTGTGGTCAGTCTTGCAACACAGGTTATGCTCTATTCATGCGTATTTTTCATGGTCTATTTTTATTCTTTCCACAGAGATTATGAAACAAATGTCACTTCAGAAGATAGTAATGATAGGTATAAGAGCCATCTCTATAATAGCTCCAGAAGAATTGCTGCTTATATAAACCTGTAGGATGTTATGGGCTTTTGATAGGAAAGGGCTTGGGAATCTGGAGATGTGCAACGATCATCTAATAGTCAGCCAATCCCTAGACATGTGAGGAGATGTCTGCATTACAGGATTGGGAAGATAAAGACACTGTCATGGACTCAGAGAGATGTGATCAGGAGAAACAGAGGAACTGAAATCTATGCGGCTTTATTGTGTTAACCCTTTTTCGTCATTATTGAAATGAAAGGACTCCATTATTCATGGAAGAGATTTATCTGAATTCATCTTCTTCACTACCATGATTTTCTATGTGATATCATTTTTGAAGAGTGAAAAGCTATAGCTACCGTCTCTCAACCTCTTTACCCACCCTTGCATAAAGACAGAAAACATTTTTTCTTTTCTAAGCACACACACACACACATATATCTCCAATAAATATACACACACACACATATATATATCCAATAAATTAATTGTTGTCCTAAATCGAGGGAAATTGGGAGCACCCGTTAGCAAAACATAATGGAAAGCCACTAGATGGTGCTTCAACTTAATTCTTTTAACAATCTGAAGCAAGCTAAAATTACTATCTAAATTCAGACAGTAATCCTGCATTTTTTTTCTTTAATTTTTCCATACAACTGACTCTCCATTTACTAATTCTTTAGGTCTACTTGAGTAATTTGGAGACAACTACAGAAGGAAGGAAATTTTGTTAAAATTAAAAAGAAAAAAAATTTTCAGTTCTGAAACTTGAATTGCACTGTTCCTGCTACTTACTTTCAGTAGAAGCATTTTGTTTATTAAATGAGATAAGGGTGGATATCAACAGTCTCATTTCAGGAAAAAAGACATGTGAGAATCCCTTGGTGGTTAAACCAAGATTAGTACTTCTTATTTCTTAAATGGAGTGCTGAGAGCCTAGATCACTAAAGAGCAAATAGCTGCTTGTTGGTGTTAATAGCAGCAGATGGTTGGTGCTACAAATAAAATGAGCTGGCAGTCTCTACTTCTTGTGTCCAACCCCATGTTTCATCTCCCATGACTTTTAGAGGCCTATGTGGTATTCTAAAGCTGGAGGGAAGCTACAGATAAGTAGGTCAACTTCCTTGTTTTACAAAACAGGAAACTAAGGCACTCAGAGTTAAGTAACTGTTGGGTGTCACTAAGAAGCCAGCTGGAATGTGAACTTGCTTTGCTTGCTCATGGGAGCACTCCTAATGTAGACTTTACTGATTGCTTTGTTTGAAGTGAGAGTTGAGGTTCAAGAGGGAATTTATGGGGGGGGTCTTCAAAAAGATGACAAAATTTAAAACTGAAATAACACGTGAAATGAGATTAATTGCTATCTTCAAGGAAGGTTTGGATGCTATTATTAAAAATTGAGTGTCACCACATGCCAAGTATATCACACTAAGCTTTGAGAATTCAAGCACAATGGAGAGGTTTTTAAAATTGCTTGTTGGGGGTGCCGGGGTGGCTCAGTCGGTTGAGCGTCTGACTTCGGCTCAGGTCATGATCTCATGGGTTGTGTGTTCGAGCCCTGCATCAGGCTCTGTGCTGACAGCTAGCTCAGAGCCTGGAGCTTGTCTTCAGATTCTCTCTCTCTCTCTCTCTCTCTCTCTCTCTCTCTCTAACCCTCCCCTGCTCATGCTGTCTCTATCTCTCTCTCAAAAATAAATAAAACATTTTTTAAAAATTAAAAAAAATAAAATTGTTGAAATCTTACTTCAGTCCTTTCTATAATCTGGAAGCAAGAAGAGAGGAAAAGAGAAAATTTTGGGTTTTTGTTTAGGGAAAATTTATTTTAGGGAAATACACCAACAGTTTGGAGAGGAAAGGTAAAGCTCAGCTTGTGGAATGCATTGGGAATACCAAAATAAAGGGAACTAAAATGATCAGCATAATTTTTTTTAAAAAAAGGGTTTCTGGGCTCCAGTGATTAGAATTTGGGGGGGCCCTTGAGGAATCAGGTAGATGAAGAAATAGACTAGGTTTTGGATACAAAGAGAGAGTTGATTGGTCATAAATTTTCCATGATGACATAGATAAAGAATTTTAGAATTAAGGATGCCTCTCTGTTAACATTTAGTTAAAGTCTGTTTTATACAATGACCTTTATGTGATTAATGGAGATTTAGAAATAAAGGAAGAGGGAACTCTAGCCACATCCTGGGGAAAACAGTATACAGAAGGCAGCAGTTGGCAGGGCTGGTGATGAGAAATCAAGGGTGACCAAGAAATTGGTCTGGGATTTAAAATTTTTAAGTGGGCGCCTGGGTGGGTCCATTGGCTAAGCGTCCAACTTCAGCTCAGGTCATGATCTCACCGTTCATGGGTTCGAGCCCTGCATCAGGCTCTGTGCCGACAGCTAGCTCAGAGCCTGGAGCCTGCTGGAGATTCGGTATCTCCCTCTTTCTCTCTTCCCCTCCCCTGCTGTGCTCTGTCTCTGTCTCTCTCAAAAATAAATAATAAACATTAAAAAAAATAAAATAAAATTTTAAGTGAGAGATGACAAGAAGCCAGCAAGGAAAGGTAGATAATTAAAGTCCAGTACTGATGCTGTAATAGAGGTATGTATGCAGTGCTATAGCAATCAAAGGAAGGAATACTCAGTTCTGACTGAATGTGTGGGCTGTAGGTCAGGAAAAGCACTGGGTGGTTTAGAAGGCTTTCAGCTGCAATAAACAGAAAGCAGTGTTCTGACTTAATCAAAAACGACCTTTAGTATCTTATAGAAGAAGGCATCCAGGAGTAGAACCAACTTCAAGTTTGGTTGTTTCCATAGCTGTATGCAATCTTGAAGGGCCTAGAGTTTATGCTCATCTGTGCTCTGCCATCATCAGTGTTTGCTAATCCTCAGGCTGGAAGTGAGAAGATGGCAGCCACCCCAAGGTCGTACATCACGCCCAGTGAAAGGGGGCTGACCTCCTCTTCTTCAAATCCCATCTTACTCATGAGGACCAAAGGCCTCTTGCATCTCCCATTTGTTTCCTCTCTTGTCTGACTGGCCAAGATCACAGGACAATTCTTTATGTAATCTCTGGCAGAGAGACTGAGATCATGCTTATGATGATTAGGACTTTTGTGCAGGGGGCTTACGTCAGCACCTTTCACGAGGCACATATCTTAGTCAGAGAGGAATGGACAGAGACCTGAACAAAACCTGGAGCTTTGGTAAGGCATCAGCACTGGAGAATGCCTGGAAAGCCTTAGTGAAGAAGATGGTAACAGTCAAGCTGAGTTCTAAAAGGTGCACAGGAATGCTGTAGGTGGTCAAGGGCAGGGAAGAAAGGCATGGAAGGAGAGAAGACAACATGGCTGAAGGCAGGAGGCTGTGACAGGGCATGTCTCAGGGCAAGAGGGAGACTGTCTGTTATCATCCCATACAAGTCCTACATTTCAGGAAGTCATCTGGGGACACAAGACTGCTATTCTGTTGAGAATGCCAGGAGTGTTTTGCAGATCAAGCAAATCTTGATGAATTTATAACATTTTCTGAACAGAATGTCCAAATCTTCTGACTGATTCACCCAGCACTGATTTTAAGATCAAATAAGGAGCCAAGAACATTGGCTTATACACAGCAGAGAACCAAAGAGAGGCAGGGAGCTCAGCCTAGAGAGGCAGGAGGTTGGCGGGATGAAGTCACTTATCTCCAAAGGGCGGGACTCAGTTTCTAAGCAGGGTAAAGCCTGCAGAGTTAAGATATTTCTTATTATTCTGATTTCCTTTAATAAGATATGAAAATAATTCTTGTGCTTAACCCAGCTGAAGAGGGTTTTGAGGATAATCTTTATAAATGTATGAATGTTCTTGAAGAAAATGCTATAGAAACACAAACCTTGTTATTTGTCCCTGCTTTCCGATATCTTTTATGCACACATAGGAATGTTTTAAAAAAACTGCCCTAAAACATCTCTCCTACCTAAAATACAGAGACTCCACACATGGACAACCACAGACATAGATTTCCATTTGCAGTTATGTCCTCTACTTTGAAGTTCCCACACTTTGAAGAGAAAGCTGTGTAGAGGATGGCAATCATTAGAGACGGGGGAAGTGATCATCTCTGCACAGAGAGTGGGGAGGGCATGGGACTAATCAAGACAATTTGAAAATTTAACAAGAGGGAGAGGGAAAAAAAACATGCATGGGCTCCAAATCAGAAGAAGTCAATTTAAACAAGACACACTAAAACAAAAAGATTTGTGAAGGCCACCAAATGTTAAGATTCTTTAGGAGCAGAAAAATGAATCACTTTCCAAATTGCTGTCGTGATTTGCCTGTTAATAAGAATGTGATACTGCTGGGAAAATGAGGTTGTTTATGACATTAATTTTTTACTCTTGTACCTTACCATGATGACATTGCTTGAGTACATCACATCTGGTTTGTTTCTTTTTTAAATTTTTAATAATTTTTAAAAATGTTTTTTAGGGTTGCCTGAGTGGCTCAGTCGGTTAAGTGGCCAACTTTGGCTCAGGTCATGATCCTGTGGTTCATGAGTTTGAGCCCTGCATTGGCTCTGGGCTGACAGTGCTCTGAGGAGCCTGAAACCTGCTTCGGATTCTGTGTCTCCCTCTCTGTCCTCCCCTGCTCACGCTCTGTCTCTGTCTCTCAAAAATAAATAAATATTTAAAAAAAATTTTAATGTTTTTATTTTATTAAAATTTTTTAAAATGTTTTTATTTTATTTTTGAGTGAGAAACAGCAATAGCAGTGGAGGGACACAAAGAGAGGGAGACACAGAATCCGAAACAGGCTCCAGGCTCTGAGCTGTCAGTACAGAGCCCTACATGGGGCTCGAACCCAGGAACCATGAAATCGTGACCTGAGCTGAAGTTGGACACTTAACCCACTGAGCCACCCAGGTTCCCCCCTTGTTAGTTTCTCTTGTATCTTTTATCTCTTGTATCTGTTTCTTTCATAAAGAAACACAATATCTTTATGAAAAGAGAGCAACAGACCTAGTGAGCCACTTGGTTTGTAGCTAACACACAGGTTTTACTATGTTTCTGAAGGGCATGTTGTCTACTGTGCAGCTTTCTCGGGCTCCATAGGGACCACAGAACCTGAAGAGAAAACAGTCCTCCTTTATGGGTAGTGCGAAAACAGGTCATGCTATGCTAAAGATTATTTTGTATATTGCTAGCGACCATTGAAATGGACATAAGCATCTCTGTACACCTGGTTGAAGCTCTGGAAGCCAGACCACGTTATGTATTTCATATCTGACAACAACAGCTTACCGTTTATTTACAATTTATGCACTCCCAATTTATGATTTTTGGCCTGAGGACACCACGACATAATACTTTAAAAACAAAAACCCAAAGCATTCTCTCACAGACTTTTCTGTATTCCATATTATGGAAAATCCCAACACCATTTCCAAAACCTTGAGTACCAAGGGGTGGCTCAAGATGTCTGCTCCAAGGAACTACAGTAAATATCTTGGGACTAGAAAGAAAGATGAAACAGCTAACATTCCAGCAAGAAGCATCTGTCTTTTGTAATTCTCCCCAAAGCAACATAAAATGGGCAGAGAAAGGCAGCCATTATTTCAACGGGGGCAAAGGAGGTCGGCTCTTTGTAACATTTTCCACCATTCCCTTGCAACTAAAACCCAAATTCCATTACTTTCCAACTGCCTATCAAAGGAGGGTGTTTGCCGATGCAGCCCAAGGAGCCCTAATCACTATCCGTGGCAGCCCCCGTGTCCTGGAGGATGATTAAATGGCAGAGTCCAGGGAGGAGCTGGATGTGAAACCTTATCCCTAAGCCAAACTCGCCTCGGGTATGTCAAGTTTTTATTTTTTTCTTTTCACTTTTTTTCAGATTCCTATCCAAAACATGCTTTCTTTGGCAGCGCCCCCAGAGGACTGTGAAGTCATAGTGCATAAACTATCCAACTCCTACCTCTGCAGGATAGTGGAACAGACTCAGGACTTGCCAAGCGCAGCTGTTCTCAGGCGAGGGCTCTTTCTGGCCCGCGGAAACCAGCAGATACACGGGCAGAGCGCGCACCCGCACCTGGAGGGCCGCAGAGCATCCGTCTTCACCCGGGCGTCAAGCTTCAGGGCGAGACCGTCCATGTGCCCCGAGTCACTCCAGATTTTCAGTGAGCTTCTCACAGTCAACTTTGTTCTTTACAGAGAGACTGAATTGTGGAATTTATCACTGTATTTGTAAATTTATGGATACAAGATTAAGATAGTTTCACCCTACCTTTTCTTTCTTAATATAATGTTTATTTATTTTTAAGTGAGACAGAGCGCAAGAAGGCGAGGAGGGGCAGAGAGAGAGTCGGAGACACAGAATCTGAAGCAGGCTCCAGGCTCCAAGCTGTCAGCACACAGCCTGATGTGGGGCTTGAACCCACAAACCATGAGATCATGACCTAAGCTGAAGTCGGATCCTCAACCAACTGAGCCACGCAGGCGCCCCATCTACCCTGCCTTTTCAATCTGATCTTCCACTGACTCAACTCCTCTTATTCCTACCTACATCGCCACTATGCAGCTTTTCCGGAAATTTCTCCTCACCCTTCATGGTTACATCTTCTGCCTGGCTTGTGCTGTTCCTCCGGTGGTAAAGACTTTTACCTCTCCCTGCCTTTTGAAAGACCAATGTCTCTTCAATGATACTGTTATCTGTGAAACTTTACCCTAGGTCGTGTTCTGAGCTAGACATTGACGCACCATAGTACTTTTTAAAAAATAGTACTTTGTGGATTATTAGGACCCCTGGCTTTACAGATATTTGTGTCCACGTGTCCCCACCACTGAATTATGAGATCCATGATGGCAGATGTCCGGTCTCAACTATTTTTATATTTTCCAAAGGGCCTAGCACAGTGTCTTATACATAGTGAGTACTCAATAAATGTATACTGAATTTGAATTTAAAAATTCAAAATAATAAATACTGATACAGGTATAATCATTAAAGGGATGAATAGGAATGAGAAAAAATATTTGCAACATATGTAAGACAAAATATTATTAGTTTGAATATCTTAGCTCCAACAAATCAAGCAAAAGGCAAGAAATCCTATAGAAATATGGGTAAAAGATATGACTAGCCATTTTATGAGATAGGAAATATAAATGTCTAATAAACATGTGAAACTATATTCAACCTAAGTGATAAAAGGAAAAGCCAATTACCAAAAAAACAAAAAAACGACAAAAAAAACAACCCCAAACCCCCCCAAAGAATTCAAGATGCCATTTTTTTGATACATCAGATTGGTAAAACCAATACTTTTTTATAGTATTAACTAAGAAAGATATGGGAAACAAACAGTTTCTGACGGGAGTAAAGGTCAATGCAGCCATTTCAGACAGCAGTTTGCAAGGATGACCCAATATTTCTGTTTTTCAGCACCTACTCAAAGTACTAGTGTTTATGTGCACAAGGAGGTAATATTACAGCATGGTTTGCAACATCAAAACAATGAGAAACAACTCTTGCTATTCTTCTGCAGGACAATGTCATACTAGACTATGTAGGAGCTAAAAACAGTGAGGTTGCCCCTGTGGAGGATATCTCTCCAACTATCTGAAACACCACCTCCATCTCTACGCCTTTATTGTACCCACCACTTGTATCCACCACTCCATGTTATATTACTCATGCACATGTATATTTGACTACTGCCTTTCTTCCTCTTTAACACGTAAGTATGACAAGAGTAGAGACTTAGTCTATTTTTCCATTGCTGTATATACAGCCCCTAACACATAACTGGGACTCAGTAAGTGGTAATTGAATGAATAATGTGGAGCTATATGTAACAGCATGAAAATATCTTCAAGGCATACTGAATAAAGAAGAAAAAGAAAATTGTAGAATAATATGTCTAGGATGATATAGTTTATGTACAGTAAGTACAAAATCAACTTTTAAAAAATATCTTTCGAACAATTCCACTCTCTACTCATCCCCTTTCATTCCAAGCGTGGCTGTCTTCGGCTCGTCGTCTTCGCAGAAAGATATATTTGGGCAGAAGGTAGGAATTTCACAAACATGTTTTTTCCTCACTCTCGTTTTCAACAGTATAAATTCTATTACAGGAACAGAGAGACTTCTGAATCTTCTTCCACCACCCTCTCCATGACCTAGACAAAGCAACACCCCACCTTGAGCTGAGAGGAGAAGAGGAAATGGGGCAAGCGATGAGAACGTAGATTCCTTTGGGGGAATGATCTCACCCAGGCAGAGCTCAGGGGGTGAAAGGGAGAGAGGTTTGGGCAGAAGAGGACTAGACTGGCATTGCAGAGATTCTCTTTTTTTTTTTTTTTTTAATTTTGTTTAAATTTTTATTTATTATCTAGGAGAGAGAGAGAGACAGCGTGAGCAGGGGAGGGTCAGAGAGAGAGGGAGTGACAGACTCTGAAACAGGCTCCAGGCTCTGAGCCGGCAGTCAGCGCAGAGCCCGACGCGGGGCTCGAACCCACGAACCGCGAGATCATGACCTAAGCGAAAGCCGGACGCTCAACCGACTGAGCCACCCAGGCGCCCCTGCAGGGATTCTCTTAAGGGCATTTTCCGGGAGACTGATTCCTACTCTTGATGTGGCAAAGGCAGGCTCTAATTCTTAGGAGCCTAGGTGAGAGAAACAAAGGCTTTCTCCACAAATGCCAACGGGGTAGAGCACTTAGAGGACCAAATGCTTCTTTAACTGCCACCAAATTTATCTTATTTTTAGTTTATTTTAATTAATTTTAAAACTTTGAGTGTAGTTGACACACAATGTTACATTAGTTTCAGGTGCACAACATAGTCATCCAACAAGTGTAAACACTATGCTATAAGTTTAGTACGAGTGTGGTCACCATCTTTCACTGTCCGACACTATTATCATATCGTTGACTGCATTCTTTATGTGGTGGCTTTTATTCCTGTGACTTGCTCATTCTTTACCTGGAAGCTTGTGTCCCCCACTCCCCTTCACCCATTTTTCCTATCCCCCGCACACCTCTCCTCTCTGGCAACTGGCAGTCTGCTCTCTGTGTTTACAGGTCTGATTCTACTTTTTGTACTTTTTGTTTGTTTGCTTATCTTTTTTTTTTTTTTTAAAGATTCTACATAAGATGAAATCATGTCTTTCTCAGTCTGACGAATTTCACTCAGGATAATACTCTCTAGGTCCATGCTGTCCTGTTGTCACAAATGGAATACCTGTGTACTTGTGTCCTCTGGGTGGGAATGTAAATTGGTACTGTGAAAAACAATATGGTGGTTCTTCAAAAAATTAAAGAAATACCATATGATGTAACAATTCCACTGTTGCGTATTTACTCAACCCCCCCACATTCAATTTATGCGCCCCTATGTTTATTGCAGCATTATTTACAATAGTCAAGATATGGAAGCAATCTAAGAGTCCACTGATAAATGGTTAAGGAAGATGTGGTCTCTATATAGAGTGGGATATTACACAGCCATAACTACCACTAAATTTAAATGCGGCCATGTGGAAAAGAGGAGGGAAGGGGCTGATGGACTGGGAGCAAGGTTTTTCATGCTACTAGAATAAGTACTCTAAATATTAATGATTTTCCTTGCACTCAGAGTAGAGGCTGAGCTTTGCAGCTCTACCTATGTAATGTAATATGTACATAGAAGAATATCTGGAAGTTTGCAAGCATGAACAGAGAACCTGAACTATGGTTAGCAGTGAAGAGAGGCTTTACTTGATCTATAATGTTTGGACTTTATACCAAGATTGTGGGAGCATCTGGGTGGCTCAGTTGGTTAAGCGTCCGACTTCAGCTCAGTCATGATCTCATGGTTGGTGAGTTCGAGCCCTGCATTAGGCTCTGCTCTGACAGTTCAGAGCCTGGAGCCTGCTTCAGATTCTGTCTCCTTCTCTCGCTGCCCCTCCCTTACTCACACTCTGTCTCTGACTCTCTCAAAAATAAATAAACATTAAAAAAAAAATAAAGCTGCTGAAAGCTCAGAGCCTGGAGCCTGCTTCAGATTCTGTGTCTTCCTCCCTCTCTGCCCCCTCCCCTGCTTGTGTTCTGTGTCTCTGTCTCTCAAAAATAAATAAACATTTTTAAAAAGTTTAAAAAAAGAATATGTTCATACACCCAGCGTAATTAAAAATAAGAATTTCCAAAAGATAAAAAGACAACCCAATGGACTTCTTGCCAAAAGATAGGGCAAGGGTTATCAGATTTGGTTAGGCCATGCAGAGAGACTGAGTTTAGAGCTGAGGGACTTCTAAGGAGGAGCCCAATAAACCTGACGTAGGGCTGGCTAAGTTCAACCCACAGGAAGCTGTGATTCTGCATTTCTACTGATTCTTCATGTAGGTTATTCCTCTGGTCTCCCTACAGATTTGTCTACCAGCCTAAAAATACTAGAATTTATGAGAATTTATAACTCAAGAATTAATCAAAGGTTTATGAAGAGAAAGATGAAACATTAAATCTAAGTTCTGTCATAGATATGCCTTTTTAATTACTTGGGAAAACAAAATAAATTCTGATATTTATGACTGTCTCATACTTATGTAGCTGGTTTCAATTATGCTAAGTTGTGTGTAACTTAAATTTCGTTTTCTACATGCCCTTGCTTTCACTAGTGTGGCTTTAAAATTAATTTTGTTTTTCATTTCTTGATGCCTTCTGTTTCTTGAAGTTAATAAATGGTTTGAAATAATTTTTAGTAAGCCAATAAACATGTAATTATAAAACTACTGAAGTAGAAAAACTTGGACTTTGAGAAACATTTCATTTAAAAATCACTAGTGTTTGCAAGTCCCAAACTCCAGGTGCACTGATGCCTACCTCTAATGATTTATCTTAAACATACTGTGTCCGTTAACCCTTTTCTTTCCATATCACGATTCAGCTTCTTCCTGCCAATTAGGTTGTACCTTTCAAGATTGATTCGAGGGGCCAGAAGGAAGTCATCATCTCAGGCAGTTCCTAATTGACCTCTTGATGTATCTGATGCCTTTGTGATTTCCTTTGCATCTAGCTGATGCAGCATGCATACAGTAAATGATGATTTAAGCACAAAAGAAATTTAGTAAAATACGGGGAGCTCACAGATTCTTTGTAGCTGTAAAACCAACACTAGGATATGGGCAGACTAATGAGGAGG